TTGGTTGGGGGGGGGGTTGTTTGCTTGGTTTTTTTAGTATTTCTTGATGTTTAATATCAACATCTTTCCATCTCTGAATTATTGCAAAAAGGGTTTTAAATTTTTCCTTTCCCCCCCCCCCCCCCCCAGTCCCACAAATTAAGTAGAATGTGAAGAGTATGAAAAGTTTAAAGAGGAAGCATAATGTTCAAAGTAGGAAAAGCATTTTCGTATCACTTTCTGCAACCTATACTTTAATAGGACATGAAATGAAATGCCAGGTGGATAATCTTCAGTCTAGCATGATCATAAGTCATCTATTTAAGTTGTCCAGGCAGACAGGATCATTATTCACTTGCACAGCCTATCTTGAAATATTTCATCTTTTTACTAGTGGTATTTTATTGGATGGTAGAAACTGTTTCTCCCCTGTTCTCTTCCAAAGTAATTTTTAAGTTTTCCATTGCATGCTGAAAGCTTTTTATTTTGCTTTTTTCTCGAAGCGGGGGGAGGAAGGGAGGACTGGGCTTTTCAGAAAGCATACAGTTGACAGGATTCCCTCTTCCCTAGTAATAGCTTATAAAACTCTTATGTATGCACAAATATTTCTTTTGCGTGCATGTGAAATGCCTTTTCGTCCTGAGAAAAGTGTTCTCTGCAGAAACTACCCGTGTGTAAAAAGAAGATTGGCTTTAAAAGGCAACTGTGATGGGAACAGTGTCTTAGGGAGATGCAGCTTGGACTTGAGGTAAATTGAATGCTTTACAAAAATGTGGTTTTGAGCTTGCATTGACATTGTATGTAATATGGGTACACGTTAACTGTATAATGTTTTTTGTATGGTTTTTCTCAATAAATGTAAACTGATGGATAATAATAGCAATGTTTTTGTCTTTTTTATGCTCCTATCCCTGCCTTCGTTAGTTTAAAATAACAGCTTCAGAGGAAAGATATTGCAGCAACTAGTAGTTCTGTGAATGAACATCACCCACATGAAATGAAGTAAAATATATTTATATGGCTATTAGGATAAATACTCATTCAAAACATCATGCAGCTTATTACCATTTTTTTCAAGATGTTTCTGAATTTGTAACTATTTTATTGAGGCAAAAGAGTGACTTCCAGTAGGTAACTGTACAAAGAGCAGTCAGCAGATTCAACCATGGGAAAATTTCTTTTTGAAATGACTGCATAAATCTAATTTGCTGCAGCTTACCTTGTCTTTATGTTAAGGCTTATACACGTGTTCTTTAATATAAAATGTGATTATTGTTTGTAAAATTACTCCTACAGAAGCTTAAGCTGAACAATTCAGGTGGTGTTAGCACAGTGACATTAGTGTTGATATCAAGAGGTCTTAGAGAAAAATAGTACAGTAGCCTTAAGAAGACAATGTTTAGAGATGCAGTAATAAATTTATTGCATTAAGAGAGAACAAAGATTGAGAAGTTAGGCGCTTTCTGAAAATACTTTTCTTAAAGTTTGCTTCCTACCACCTTAGCTATGATAGGCTCATATTTTGTCGCCAACTGTTCCTGTATCATTTAAGCAATGAAAAAAAATGAGAAGTTTTACAAGCAAATGTTGGTACTATAAAGACTACTACAAGCCTTACTGAGATTGTTTTTACTTTTGGATTATCAACTGCATAGGTTGATAAGAGCATAACGGTTTAAATGCAAGCCCATTTTAAAACGAGAACTAATGCTCTTTGAAACAAAACAACAAAAGTGAGCAGTTATGTAATCTTTTATTCTTTAAAAATAGTACACTGGGGTTTTTGAAAATCATCAATAAGTATTTCCTTTTGCCAGTTCAATGCCTCTGGGATAAAGTAAAACAGCTTAAATACTCAGTGTTCATGCAAAATATACCAATAGATTTACACTACTACACAAGTTTCCAGATTGTGTATTTAGCTTTATACTATTACGCAACAGTTGGTCTTCAAATGTGGGAGCACTATTATAATTCAGCTTTTTCCTTTAGTTGATCTTTCATACATTGATTCCTTCTTTTTAGCCTTTAATACTAATCTTTGTATTGAGCAAGGAACCTGGACACTCTCCCAATTTGAAGGTTATTCTTATCTGATGCAGGAATGACAAATCTGCATATCATTGCTTTCTTTAGTTGGCCCCATCAGAGAAAGAGATGATGCAATAAGAAAGTTTTGAGAGGAAGAAGGATTCCAGCTAAAGTAGAGCATTAGTAGTCATCAGCTAGAAAATAAAAGGGTTAAGAGAAACAGATAGTTAGATTTTTTCATAATAGGAAAGATGCAAGAAGACTATCTGAGAATTAAGCGAATTAAAATGCTAACTCTTACTTTCAATGGTGAGAATACAGGTGCTAGCAGATGTGCCTCTGTTGTTGACTGCTTTACACATATATTCCCCTTCATCTTCTGGGAAGGTTTCTGGCAAGTAAAGGCAATAGGTTTCTCCTCTTTCAATATATTGATAGTCCTCAGAGTCCTGCAACATTTCCCCCTCAAACCACCATGTAACTTCAGGCTTTGGTTCTCCAGTAATTTTAACTGTAAATCTCACTGGCTCGCCATCAACAACTGATGTGTTTTTCAGTGACTTCTTGAACCAGGGAGCTCCAGATCGAGCTTGATCCTCCTCATCTTCGCAAGTAGAACCATTAATAATGCTTCCCTCTTCTTCTTCTTCCTCCTCCCTTTTCTGTTTTAAAATAGGTCGATTCAGAACATTTAAAGTGGTGATAGCAGCATGACTGCTAGTGATGCATATGTGATTACAGAAAAGTTACCACATTTCCGAGAAGGGGAAATGCCACACCTATCCTCACTAGATAACAATGCACTGAATCTGGATATGGAACAGGCAGTAAAATGGATTTTAATGAGGCTGGAATCTCGGGGTAAGATCTAGGCATTAATATAGATTCCCTTTGCAGACTCTTCAAAGGATACAATAAACTTTCTTTGCAGTACCTTTCTCATACTCTTCAAGAGCATGCAAAAAGATCAGAAGCAATTTTACATTATTGCAGCAATTCACAGTAGCTGTTAAAACAAGTATAATGTTCCTTTTATACCCCTGGCAGCATTGCCATCAGTGGTAATCGGATGCTAAGTTAAACAACAGTTAGAACTGAAGAAAAGGTACTTTGTAATTTATACCTTCTGTAACGCCGCATCAATTTCTTTTTGTTCAAACTGCATGCGTAGTAATTTCTGTTCTTCAATTCTCCTCTGCTCCTCTTCTTCCCTGGCTCTTGCCATTTGCTCAAAACGGGCCTTCATGTTTACTTTATGAGTAAACGGAGCCTCAGATTTCTTGGCTGGTCTCACATCTACCTCATCATCCTTGGGAAAAAAAAATAGAGGACTTAACTCATTTATTACTTTTAAAATGTGTACGATGATAAAACTAGTTTTGTAGAGCAGTAGTTCTTCTTAACCGAGCAAAGCCACCCAGAGTCCTGTTTTTGTCAGAGGTTTGTTTAATGTTGGGTTTAAGATCAAGTCTCATAATATTTTATCGCAGGGACAAGACAAAATACTTGCAACAGTAATTTCAAAAATGTTAGGTAGAAAAATACTAAAGATTTTTTTTTTTTTTTCGTATAGAAGTTGAATTTACCATTCTTGTGGGAATGGTAAATCCTTAGTGACTTGACTTTCATGCCATGATGTTATGGTAGCTTCAACACCTAACACAGGCTGACCTTATAGAAACATAATTACAGTGTCAGTCATTAAATTAAAAGCTCAAAAACTACAGATGGGCTTTGAGCCGATACTGAAGTGACTGACTGCTGTGGATAGGAACCTCAGAACGAGGCTCAGATCAGGCTTACTACTGTTAAGTTTCCTGCACTGCCACATGATTATGCCATGAAAGCTCTCGTTGGTGTTTTGGGTCACAGAGCATAGTGATTTATTGGTGAGACTGATAGCTTCGTTTCTTGTTTTTTCCTCTCTGAAAAAATGTGAGAGGTTCCAGTCTGAAGCATAGATAAGTAGGCATCCTTTTCTGCTCTACCCTGAGAAATGAGTAAAGATGATAAAAAGACTTGATCTTCAAATGGTATCTTTTGTTTTTGTTTGGTTTTGGTGTTTTAATTCATACAGTGGAGAATGAATTAGAGTTCAGAAGGAGAAGCAATTCATGTGATGATTAATGGACTGATTCTCAAATATGAATGTTTCAAACCCTCAGGCTGGCAGGTTTCAGGTTGTTAAGATGCTGAATTGAGGACTTTGAGAGAAAAACAGATCTCTGCTTGACCAGATGACTGATAATAAACTGGTGCTGTTTCCTTTAGGGATGCTGAGGTGAGACTTCCTCATGCATCCAAAGGAGGGAACAGGAAAGAAGGGAGAAAATCATTCTGGAGATACAGCAACCTTTGAAAGCAGCAGCATTGTCCACTCCTGGATCATTAGTGTGCTAGTTAAGTATACCATTAACATATACAGAACGCAACTTACCTCTTGAAATTTTTCAGCTTCCCTTTCTCTTATTTCTTCATCCATTGCCCTTCTCTTAGCTCGCTCTTCTTCAATCTTCTTCTGTATTTCTTCTTGAGACAATTGTCCTATTTTTTCAAACTTGCTTTTTAAGTTCTTTGCCTGAATAGAACCACTTCTTTTTAGCTTTATTAATTCTTCATATTCTTTGCTTAGCTCAAAAGTTTCAAACTCTTCTTCCAGCTGTTCAGAAATTACAGAATGTGTAAGATGGAAAATGCCTTAGTTATTTTTACTACCTGTTCTCTCCACAGACAGGTGTAACTTAATACACTTGAACAGTTCTCTTAGTTATTTGAAAACGGCACAGAGACCTTTTCCCTCTAATGTCTGTTTCCCCTCGCTATTCTCAGGATTACTGAGTTTGTATCGCATCTAAACTAGATAAAGATTTTAAAATATCCTGCTTGAATGTACCCTTTGTTCAAGGATTGCTGTCAACAAGCCACCTTTCATGGACTCAGAAAACCAGACACGCAGCAATACAAAAAACTTAGTTATCCTGGATCTGTTATTTACCTCTCTGACTTACTGGCAATACTGATACGAAATAATTTTCTAAAATACAGCTATTTTGTAACACAGAAAATTACTACTTTTTTTTTAATTCAGTAAAAAGCAAATGAGATTTCAGGATGTCATGGCTGGAAAAGAAATAGCAGTTCTGGATCCCGTAGTCAAACCACGTCTGAAGCTGTAGTTGTTGATATTCTACTCCCTCCTTTTATGACCTCTGACTGAGCGTAAAGATGTATGTGCATTTGAGTTGGATGTCCCTGTCTCTCCCTTCCCCAGGACGTGATACAAAATTTACTTGAAAAGTTCACAATCCAGAATCTTTTTTTACTCACTCTAGCTTTACTTAACAAAAATAAATAAATAAATGTAGTCCTCTAACATTCAAAAGGGAATAATAAAGAATTGCCACCCACAACCAAATCAAATGGAAGTGTAAAGTTCATGAACGTGATGTTTTAGTCATCTGGTATGCAAAGCAAATTTTGTGTGTAATTTTTAAAATCGACTGTGACAGTCTTCAAACCCTTGATACGCTGATTAGAAGTAAGTTGAGGCCACTGTAATTCTTTCCTAATGAGTCAACACAGCATTCCCTTGAGGAAAAGCAAGAATTTTGCTCTTTCCTACTTTCATTTTTGTATATTCATTTGGGAACTAGATGTTTCTGTTCTTCCAATATTGTAAATATTACATAATTGTTTTAGTAATACTGTAGAATTTTCAGAATTGACTGTAAAATAAAATTACAAATTTGAAATTGTGTTTTTACTTTAAGGGTGGCAAGGGATGAAAGCATTTTCCTAGTAGATTAGTGATAAAAAGTATGTAGCTTATTATATAAAATGTTACAGATTTTAGTAATTAACTGAAATGATCTATCATATTTTCATTGAGCATGCTTAACATATCCTTTGGTATACAAACCTCTCCCATTTCTTGTCTCAACTGTTGAAATTCTTGCTTTTCCATTTCCAACTTTTGCCTACGCTCTTCTTCTGTGCGTCTCTTTTCTTCTTCCATTTTTTGTCTCAGCAACTCCTCAAAATTAATTTCCAGTTTACCGGGTATGAGAGATTCTTGAGAAACTGTTTTAAACATTTCTGGTGATTCATCATCCAGCACCTGCTGGAAATTCAGAGCATTAACGATACATCCTGAAGGTACCTGTGATGAAATCACAGCGTTGCTCAGACACTTCTAGTACATAAAGACAACTGAGTATTTTGCCACATCTGCCACAGTGCAGTAAGATCACAGTGTGGGTATTCCTCTAACATTTTGGGAGAGAGTGTGTCTGGGGGGTTTTGTATTTGCCTTTAGCTCTTCATTATTGCAATGCTAAACCTTTATAATGAAGATGAAGGTGTTTATTAAAATGCGGTCTTTTTTGCAAGACGATGGAGAGGATGTCCCCTACGTGCAGCTTTGGGACCTGAAACAATTCATTCCTGTTTACTTCACAGAGTGTCATTAGACAAAGCGCTTGTGGTTAAATGTCATTGCTCTTAACACGGAAGTACATGTATCTGTAATCTTTTTCAAAGCAAACTGAATTATATTCCTGTTCTTAAGCAATATTGGTATTCCCAGTAAGGATAACTGACCAGAATTTTCTGCAAGAAACTCTTCTTGTGCATGAATTGATTGTACGACGTTGTGTTGCCAGTTCATTGCTTTGTACAACCCAACAGCAAGGGTTTCCTCCTCTCCCTGTCCTTTTCTCAGGCCTCAGAGTAGGGTTGGGCTTTGATGGTCATTCATGAGCAGTTTGCTTATTTTGTAGATTAATTCATAAGAAGACGGTAGGGCCTAGGAAACGCGATTTTCATTACTTCCAAATGCAGGAAGTGTAAGAACAAATACTCTATCAGACTGAATTTGTTGAAGTAAAGCATTACTAAAATATGAAGCTGTATGCTACAAAAATGGCCAGGTCACATGACATGAGTTACACAGGAAGATATTTTTAAATAACTTCTTGATAAAACCCATATAAATGTATGTTTGTGCATGTAACTACGTAAACTTATTAACAGAGATGGTCTCAACAGGAACATTCTGTAGGTAAATGTGTGAGATGAGGTCAGATACTGATCTGGAACTGTGCGGTGATGCGGCTTTAGACATTATTTAATCAGCGCATGTTTGAAAACCCTTGTGGCAAACCTTGAAGAACCCCGTGTGCCTTAAATTGTAGGCGTTCCCAACATTAGTAATCACTCAGATCTTAGAAGGAACTAAAGGAGCAAAACTTCCATTTGAGAAAGCGTTTATAAAGAAAGCTTTATAAAGAAACAGAAAATAAACATATTTTTTAAAAGATTCTTTGGCACTCCCTTTTCTCTTTATTGCTACTTGCTGCCATTGTAACTTACACCTTTCACTGCTGTTTGTGCCATCGTAGTTCGTACCGCTGTCTTGACCTACTTTGCCCACATCCTTTTTATTTGTCACAGCTCTTTCAATAGTTTTTTTGGCCCAACCCCACTCAAATACTGCTATTCACTATAGATTTCCTTCAGATTTTCCCTCTGAGTAAGCTTACAGTTGATCTTCAGCCCCACCATTCCTTCCATTCTTCATTCGTTTTGCATAATATGAGCGTATTTGTTGAAATTGTGTTATGGATAAGTGGAGTCAAAAAACAAAGCTGTAAACTATTTCCTTTAATGAAAACAATGCATAGCCACAGAGTTTTCAGAGGCTAACCACAGCTAAACTAGCAAAGAAATGTGAAAGTCTCTTGCTCGTGATGCATTAGTTCATGTGCTCATCACTCCAAGAAGATACGGAACTAAGTGAATAGAAGAAGCATTAATTCAAAATTTACCAACGCGTGTATGTATAACTTCAAAAGCTGTGCATATGAGCAAACACTAGCAGCTGCCTGCTCTGTTTTTTTGAATCAGTAAGTTAGAAAAAGACAGTAAGCCAACTTATTCCTGGTTAAAAAACACAGGAAAAAAATTCAGCTGAATTGTGTGATGCACAAAACCCTTGTGCTTAGTTCAGTAAATATTTTAGCTATATTTTGTGAAGTGAGACCATACTTTTTTTTTTCCGCAAAGTGGGAACAGATGGTAGTGAGAAACAGTCCTGTAATAACCATAGTTTGCAGCACAGTCAACCAATTTTCAGTGGGCAAACTGACTGATAAGAAGTAGAACATTTTTTTATTCGTGCTAAGACAGGTTCTTTATGCAGTCCCTAATGGAAGGAGACTGACGGGGATGAAAGACGAATGCTTCAGTCTGAAAGTGATCACGCTGATGGTGGGAAGCGTGGAAGTATAAATGTAGCGCAAGTAAATGTGAAATGGGGAGATCCTTCCAAAAGGAGGTGGCGTTTGTGTTTTCCAGCAACAATATTACTACTTCTGTGTGTGTATACTTTCAAAACTAAATTAAAATTAATAAACATGAAAAAGGTTCTAAACTACTTAATTTAAGTGCTTAAATAAAAATTGAATGTGAGGTTTTACTAGTTCTGACGGAGGTGACGTTCTTAAAATGTTTAAAAGCACACCTGCATTGCTGCTACATTGTGTAGCTGTGGAAAATAGGGAAAGCACGGGCTTATATTTTCTGTTACAAGTAATAGAAAATGTGGTGTTCGTATTCAGGATGCTAATTAACAAAATTTTCAAACGTATATGCTGAAAATACATTTTCAGTTAATTTTTTAAATTACTGAACACCTTCACTGTCCGCTGTTACAGTGCAATCATAGACTCCGTGCTGCAGCTAATGGATTAAACCTTCTTTAATCAGTGAGATTTTTCTTGCCCAGACACTTGAGCTTAGGTTCTTGCTACACGAGGCAGAAAAAAGAGATTCTCAAGAAAGCAGGAAAAAACCAGAAGACAGCACGTACTTGCTTTGCTTTCCTTTAGTTGTCTGCTGGCTTTTCCTAAAAGTTGTAATGGCAGAAGTCCAGCAGCACTCTTGTTTGTTTGTTTGGTTGTTTGTTTGTGGTTTGGGGTTTTTTTTTCCTCCTAGTGGCTTTAGCTTCTATTTCCTCTCTTTGGAGGTATGGACAGACACCATTTTCCATAATTGCTTACCAGTACAATATCAAATACAAATTTACATTGTAGTTTCTCTGGGTAGTTTTTCAGCGTAGAGGTCTTGTCTTTGGCCCAATTTTCAGGCAGAGTGAGAGCTGCTAGCAATACTAGTAGTCGTACAAAGCTTTAATTTGTCTCAAAAGCATTGCTTTGAACGATGAAGAAAATTTTATTAGGTGTGCAGTTGGTCTTTCCCAATAAAACTACAGAGGGGAATGTAGGCAGACGCTGCCAGATGGGCGGGTCATTCCACAGTTCTGTATGGCATGTCTTGCCCTTCCTTTTGAAACAAACAATACTTAGTTTTAGTTGGCACTTGTGTGATTTCATACTGTATTTCCTAACATCCACCAATAAGTAACTGGCTTACACCCAAAAGCCTGCTGAAACTTAAAGTTGTTGAAATACACATGAAGAATACAGTGAAAAGCTCCATGCTAGTTATTTTTTATAAGTAATGTTTTTGCCACCTTCTGAAATCAAGCATCTTTCTCTGCTTTCCGGTAGTGTCAGTATGTCAACCCTAGGTCCCTGAAAATTTGTCTTCAGTATCATCTTAAGTCAAATTCTAGAAGTCATTGCCTATCGCAGAGGTCTGTATTTGTCTAAGGAAGTTCCATATTGCGCATTGTTCTAATGGTAAATGCCACAAGTTACTTTTTCTGTTTCTCTGAACAAGCAATGAAATACAATAAAAACATCAATTAGCTGAGTTCAGCCGCCTTAATTTGTCCTTCCTAAGGGGCCACAGATGACTATAAAATTTGTACTTGCAGTGAGCAATGTTCTGGTACGCCATCAATTACGCTTTAGCTAGTAAGAGCTGATTGGTGGGCACCCTGCAAAGGTAGGGAGATAAACTTGGAGAAGTAAAAGGAATTGCTCTTCCCCAAAAAAAACCTCAACAAACCCGCCTTGTGAAAACATTTTGCTTTCCAAGTTTGTTGCATCTAGCATAACAATACCCATTGGACACAATATCTGGTTTTGACTAAATTATTTTAAATCCTTTCTAGGCTTGCTGTGAGGAAGGATTGGTCTGTGATGATTTTTGGTAAACAAACTTGATTAGTTTACCCCCCCTACCTTCTAATAAGTAGTGAGGTGAACTAATCAGCGAAGGAGTTGAAGCATGCATTCCTAACTATATTTAAAGCTTTTTCCCAGAGCTACTTTCTAGTTCATCAGAGACTTAGGTAAAAATTAAACTATATACTAAACAAAAATGCCATACCATGTTCTTCCTTGCTTCAGCAAATGCTCTTTTCTCCTCTTCTATGCGTCGTCTTGCATCTTCTTCTGCTTTCCTCTTTTCCTCTTCTCTCCTCTGTCTTTCTATCTCCTCAAAACTGAGTCTGAGTTTACCAGGACGGAATTCTTTAACAGAATTCTCAGATTCTTCATCGTCACCTTCATTTATCTTCAGAGAAGAGGGAGAAGAAAAAATAGGAAGGACTTATCCAAACATTAAAATATTCTTTATAATAAATAAATATTCCATTAATTCCTTTCTGATCTTTTATAAATGTTTTTTTCTCCTGGGGGGGGAAAATGTATCAAGAGTTTGGTTCCTATAAGAAACATTTTAGGCTTGGTTTTAGCCAGAGGAGGAAGAAAAGAAATGTATTTCAGTATCCTGCGTGTAGCTTCTGTAATTTTGAAAAATCTGTTGAGTGTGTAATTCAAAGAACAATGTGTTATCAGGAAAAGGCTGAACAATTAAGTACGTATTTTATGGTCTCAGGGTTGGATCCTTTACTGTAAATCACTCCCTATTCACTCTCTTTACATCACTTTCACAGACCTTTATACCATCAAGTCTTTTTGTTTGCATGTAAATTGTTTTCATCAATGCACTTACCAGTTAAAAAAAATGCCGTAGAGTTTTATAGCAAAACTAAATCAATTAACATTTTGCTATTACTCAAGACTGAGATTTTTGTTTCTTTTCTTTTCAGACATTTAATCATCACTGAAGAAAGGGAATTGAGATACTCTGATCTCTTCGCTATTGCTTGTCTCCAGTGAACTCTTATCTGCTAAGAGAAGCCTGTGGTTTGCAAACTGCAATCAAGAACAAAAGAATGAACCGTCTTCAGAAGACATCTCAGAGTACTTCATTTGTTAATGGAGGAAATTGGCTGGGAACTGTCAGAGTATGATATTCCAGATTTCTGTATACTGCAAGCAGCCCTGGGACTGGTATGTGGGGTAGCCAGTTACGGGAATTACAGAAATCTTTTATTTGGAATTCATAGGGAAAAAAGAAAGAATGGAAGGAAATTAACTGCTGAACTCTTCCTTTAAGAAAACTTTTGCCTTCAAATTTTGACAACCACTGATATCAGATAAAACTGCACGTTAGAAAATTTCTTTTGAAATAGAGAATTCGTAAATTATATTACTTGGTTAATAAATGCATATACATAAGGGTGGGAGATGTGAACAAAACTTCAGTTAGAACGGCTAGTGACTTCATGAAGTTCTCTCTCCTTCATTTTCTTCCCTCTATCTCCTTTACTAGTATCCTCTGCCTACCCCCAAATAAAAAGAAAAAAGTGCATTATTGACATCATGCCAAGGTTATTGGTGCGGAAAGGTTAAGTGATTTATTAGGGGTGGGGGTGGAGGAGTAAACTACAGTTTGGGTATCTGCCTAAACCTAGAACCCTCTCAATTTGGACCAGTTGGGAATTTCAGTGTTTCAGCTTTCTGGAGGTTCTGTGGTGTTGGTTTTTTTCTTGGAGAAAATAAATGAATGGAATGTTTTTGAAATATAGTCAGCGTAGTGATCTTGAGCTGTTTGTCCAAGAATGTCCGTTCATAATTACGCTCTTTCTAAGTTAAAGTTAGTAAATTCCTGGAAAGAATATTTTCAAAGATTTCATGGAAGATTAAAATCTCATTTCTCATTAATCTTCTTTGTGTGTGAATTAACAAAGTCATAATGATCACGATTGTACAGGGGAAAGATATTTAAATACAGAACTTAAATGCTTTTGGAAATGGAGTATAGTAAAGTGAGGAAATAATAGAGCTAAACTATCTGGTATATCTTACGTTCATACTAAGTGTATGATTCCTTTAGTACGGTCAAAGAACAAACTATAGTGAGGTCTGTTTATAGTTGATCTAGAATAAGTCTGGCTTACGATAAAGAACACATACGGAGGCAGTTTTGCAAGTAGTATAAAACAGGAATTGTGAGCTACGTTTCTGACAATTTGGGGCTTCATCTAGTAATTTCTAGTATATTGTTGTTTATGTCAATACATACAAGAGAGCTGACCCGTCTTTTTTCCCTTTCTTTATAAGAGGAAAGTTTAATTGATGTATCTATCGTATTTATAAATAAATAGGGGAATAAGAAATAGCATTCTGTTACTACAGAATGTTTTCATCAAAAACTGGTTACTGAAACATCTGAAGCACTATTTAAGAACAAAACAGACAACTAATTATCTTCCCGAGGACTGACAGCTTAAGGTACTACAAAGTGGAGATACAAAACCTGCTAAGATTGCTGGCAAGTTTAAAACACAGAGATTTCCTGGTTTTACTAAAAGAATGTCTAAAGCATTATGCCAGTGTGGTTACCGAGTTAGAACTAAGGTCAAAAATACCTCTTTCAAAATTTAATGGTGATTAATTAATTAATTTTCAGACTCTTAACAGCTTGAAATATAGTTAAGGGATAAGAAAAAAGAAGAACCGGATACAGGAAAGAATGTAAAAGCATACCCTATGTGAAAATTCTTCAACAACATGGACAAAACATGTAGTTACCATTCGCTGTCTAGCTTCTTCAAAGGCACGTTTTTCCTCTTCTAAACGCTGTCTTGCTTCTTCCTCTGCTTGCCGCCTTTGATTTTCCTGTCTTTGTCTTTCAAGTTCTTCAAATGTTACTTTCAGCTTACCAGGAGACAGAGGCTCTTGTGTTTCATTGTCTTCATTTTCACCCTGTGTAAGAAAAATGAAATAGTTATATCTTAAATAACAGATACTCATTTCTTAGGTATTTTTAGATGAGTTATATTTAGGTGGTTTACCATGACAAATGAAAGGCCCTTGGTTTCCTCAAGGAATTGTTTTTGTTCCTCATATTTTAGCTTCAGTTCTTCATCCTGTCTCTCTCTTTGTTCTGCTCTCTCCTTTCCCGTGTTCTCAAAATTTATTTTCATCTTCCCAGGTGTTTTGGTGGGCTTTACAGGCACTACTGTAACTAGCAGTGAATCATCCCCTTCCTGTCCAAAAAGATATTTATTATATTTTCATAAAGCTTGACTTCTAGACAGACTCATTTCTTAATGAAACTGCTGATTTTACCTTTGTGCACCAAAGCTTCCAAGAATTACTTGCATTGAGTATTAACAACAAGAATAAACCCATCTGCCTGAGACAGTCACTAGTTTTCTTGTAATATCTGAAGAGCATCAAGGCTCAATTATATTTTAAACATAACTGCTGGCAAACTCCGTAATTTCTTTACATATTTTCATTAACTGTTAGTTATAAATATTCATGGTTTGGAGAAGAACAGGTAAAATTTTGAATACATAGCAATTGTAGCCACACTCCAGTTCCAGTCTTATATTTACTAAGTAAAGGATATACTGCGGTTGGAATAAGCTAGTAGTTTGAGAGAGCAATATGTAATTTGTCAGGCAGAGTAATTGCTGCTTCAAAACTATTTTCACAACTTACCCAGGTTTTTTCACGAAATACCATGATTAACAGGGATACTGTCAAAAAACTTAAAACTAATGGGGGTTTTTGTTTGTTTGTTTGTTTGTTTGTCTTTCCAAAACTGTAGTAGTAATGTGATTTTCTTGTGTTAGTGAAAGACAATAGGACCTTTGGACCCAGATTTTTGAAATTAAACATGTTTTTGCAAGACTTAAAATCCAAACCCATGTGTTAAATTAGTCAATTTAATAATAATAATAAAAAAAGATAACTGAGTAAGTTATTCAGACATCTGTATATTGACAGAATCCCCTTTTAATTTCAAGTTTAAGGCAAAGAGCTTTTAAGATGATACTTTCCAAAGCGAGAGGACTTAGAGTATCATTGCCAGTATACCTCAAATCATTCTGGTGGCTTTGAATATTTACATTTTAGATGTTTTGAACTAACCACAAAGTATTCACAGTGCAGACTCTATTTCAAACTTAAATAAATTCACTTCAAGTACAGACATATAGATCCGTATACTTTAAAAATTTGTTAGCTTCTTGGTTGAATTTTAATTAGGTATTTGTGTGCCCTTTTCTAAGTTTTCCCAGCCCAAATGACAATAATAAAACAAAGTGAATAAAAATGTAGGTGAACATTTCTTTAAAAAAATCTGATTACCTCTGCTGCTGATTCAGTTCCCGTATTGTTAAAGTCATCAATCTATTAAATGAGAATTTCATATGATTACATTACTTTGGCTCTTTGCCTTAGATTTGCAAACATAGAACTGGAAATTCTTTCTGTTATCAGTGATATGTATGTAGCACTTAAATTCACAGAGACGGTAATGACTGAACCTTTGTTGGAATACTTCGGATAGGTTAGCTTGCTGAGGAAGAGGGAACATGACATAAAACATCATACACAAAGTATGCTAAAGCGTTCTTAACACTTCAGTGATGAACTGAGAAGAGTACTTCAGATGTCCATTCTTCATTTAAGCATTCCAGAATTGTGTAGAAAGAAAAAAAGCTAAAGCAAGCTCATGGATTATTTCTGATTCAAGTGACATTGTCTTCCCCTCAACTCCTGCAAAAAGCCTATTGCTGTATTTGCTTCGTATGGTGTCTTTATATGTTACTGTCTAAAACTAACGTACTTTCTAAAATTCTACATGGTATGTACTTCTGCCTTTCCGAGCAGATTAAATATATGCTAGATACATTTCCAGATAAAAGTCCAGTTTTAACCATGTTAAAAGTCTTAGGAGAAAATACTATCTAAGTCCTTGTTGAAAACTGACTCCTCCTATAGCACTGTTTTTCTTTTCTTACAACAAAAACAAACCTAAATTAAGTACTACTATCTTTTGGTTAAATAAAAATTTGCTTATGGTTCTAGTCTATCGTTTAGACGTTCGCTCTCGCTGCAGTATTTGCAGCACTGAAGAGAACTTACAACAGGAATTAGATGTGATGATACCCCAATGCAAAATTCTACAAAAGACAAAATTTGCTTTAGTGGCAGCAACAAAAATTGGAGTCTGTTCACATACATGTGCAATAAAGATTCACAAAGTGACAAAGGAATAACTGGATCTTCATGATTCATGATTTTTACTGCATTAGTATCTTCTCATTTTTGCCTGCCGATGGCATTTTCCTATTTCTTCTTGCTTGCCTTAGTTCATCTGTCACTGAACTGTATTCACTAATGTATAACCAAAATTGTCTAAAGTAAGGGTTGGTAAAATATAAGAAACATTTTTAAATTAGTTTAGTAAATTCTATGAGCTCTTGTATGCATATGACACCAAAATTTGTGCCCGATTCACATTCCTACCAGGTTTCTGCCTGCCTGGTTTCAGCTGTAACTCAAGTGTAGTGCTTAAAAAAATTGTTACCGTGAAGAAGTGAAGACGAAGATTCTCTGAACATTATTCCCACTTCCATCCATTGAGCATCTCCCATGTAAATCACCGCTATCGGAAATCTTAAGATCAAATCTTTCCAATCAATACAAAACTTTTTTTCTTGTGTTGGTTGTTTACAATTATATCCTGACTATTGGGACCAGATGAACATACCTCCTGTGCTTTTTTTGCTAATTCTCTTTGAATTTTTCTTTTCTCAATCATATCTTGTTCAATTCTGCGCTTTCTTTCTTCTTCCATTCTTTTTCTTTCTTCTTCTTGCCTTTGCTTCTCCATTTCTGCAAACTTGCCTTTAACGGTTCCTGTGAATATGAAATAAACAGTTCAGTAGTTACATCTAATACTTATCTAGTGAATTATGTGGCCTTTAAAATCGGGCCTCTCTTACCTATTAGCTTTGGAACATAACCTTTTTCTATTTTAGATGATTTTGCATCATCGTCTTCATCAGATCCAAGCAGTTCTTTCATCTAGTTGATGAAACACAGAAAGTAAACTGTCTTTATACCTTAAATAATATTCCAATATTATTGTCTTAAAATAATGTGAAAAGATTTTCACGTATAACATTGACTATTAAAATAACACAAAATATTTGCAAAGAAAATAACCTCCTGCTTTCTCCTGTTCCATTCTCTCTCTCTAACATATTGTTCTTTTCTTCTTTGCTTTTCATCTCTAGATCTCCTTTGATTTCTTTCTTCCCTTGCTTTCTGCATAGCTTCAAATTTATCCTTTACATCACCCTTGTGAAGCTTGGGTACATAGGATTTTTGGACGGGTTTAGATGAAGAAAGCAGAATCTTGGTGAAGATATAGAAGAAATGAAGATAAGAAAAAGAAAGTTGAAACAGATGGACAGAAATATTCTGATAGACTGGATTAGAAAGAATGTAAGAACATAAAACAGAAGTGCACTTGGGATTATGAACTTTGTGCCACTAGCCACCATCTACTAAGGATCATTGTGTTTGTTCATAAATGGTAATAAATACTAAAATATCCAAAAAACGTTTAGCATTGTAATAAATAATAGCTACATAACTAAGTGTATGAACTATGTGAATTGTACGTTTTCAGTTACTGTGGCTTTAAAAATTAGATACAGATTTGTATGGTTGCTTTGAATCATAAGCAGTCAGCAAAGAGCCTCTCTACCCCAACAATATGTATGTTTTCTTCTGCAACTCTTCAACAGCCATATATGGAAATAGTATTATTTGTTCTTTTAAAACTTCCAATACATTATATACTTACTTTTTTAATACTGAGAGAAACTCAGAAGTCCGGTGATTTTATGTTAGAAAGTGTCAAGATCACTGGACTCGCAGGACTCTGATATCGATACAGCTACTGGACACTTCTTTGCCAATGCTTAACTCTGTGCGTGTCCAAACAGTAGGAGAGGTTCCCCCTTTTCAGAACTACGGTGAAGTGTTCTCTTTTTCTACTGTCGTGACTACAGGAATGCTCTCAATACAGTAATGCTGAGAAAACTGGCTGAAAACATTCCATGTTTCATATTTTCCACCTAAGCCAATAGTTTTTGTTCCTGCTTTTGTTCCTGTTCAGTGAGTCTACGTAGAAGAAGAAATATTTGAAGTAGCCTAATATATACATTTTAGAATTAGATGTGAATGCCGCCCTGAATTTCCACCCCCAACATTTAAAGTTTCTTCATATTTTGTTACCTTTATTTTGCCTTCCTCCTTCATGTTTTTTTAATAACAGTAAGAACATACTTCACAGATTCCATCAAATCAGATAGCTTCCTTAAGCTACTTCCAAGCGCCCTTCCACTGTCTTAAAATAACACCAATACCAGCAGACTTCCAGTGTAATTGTTTGTCTTTTACAATTGTTTGTAATTACTCTTTTTGCGAGCATCAGTTGTAAACTACTACATTACTTTGATTAATTTAAAATTGGTACATACCTCAGTTTTCTGTGCAATGTCATTCATGGCTACTGTATTGTGCTCTGCACCTGGTATGCTTAAGATTGCTTTCAGTTTCTACCTGAAAGAAATAGTTGTAGTTATATTCTGTTCTTTTCCTTTTAAAAGATGCTTTAACCATCTTCCTGTAAATAAGCTTGCACAGGCCGAAATCGATGTATCACAATTTCACTGGGTCCTTTGAGGCTTCTGAAGACATGAATAGGCTCTAAGAATGCAACAGTAATTAAAAGAACAAGCTTATGATTCACTATTCATGCTCATAACCCCTCTATATAGTCCTAGATATTGGGTTTTAATTTCCATTTAAAAAAAAAAAAAAGAAAAAATAACTTGGAGCCAAGCTCTGGCTGCCCCGTCTGGTGTGTTACGAAACCGTTTTTCTCAATACTCAAATGCTAGCAGAAAGGAATGTGCTGTGCACCTCCGCCGCTCCACTTCGGTCTGATGTGTGAGCCAGCGAGCTCCGGTTGCATGAAGTTTGCAGCGTGCTCAGGCCAAAACCCCACAGCCTCCCGGAGACGCCGCTTCGCCTTTATGCGGCTGACAGGAGGAAAGATGGCCCGGCGGCTGGGGGGACCTACCTGCATTTCAGAGCTGCAGCTGGATCTCTTGCCTGGGTGAATGCTTTTGCTTGAGTCCCAGCCAGGCTGGCAACTCTCTCGGCTCTTCACCCAATGTGGGAATATGAAATAATGCTTTCCTTTCTCCTACGGCTATTCTAGGGGAAACTAGTGCTAAAAACTAGTTTTAGCACTAGTTAGGTAAGCCACATACATACCTTAGAGAAAGTATTTGTATCACTTAATTGTGGGCTGGAAATTGCACTGCATTTTTTAAAAGTGTTACAAATTTTAAATTACACTATTTATTAGGAACGTAACAGAAAGGCACTTCAAGTTCAGGGCAAGCCTTTTCCTTTTTTTTTTCCCCCCTTTTTTTTTAAATCATCGGGTCTATCAGAGCTTGTGGGAGGAAGGAAATCATGACATGACTCCAGTGCCGTTGCTGTCTGTACTGGACCGATGCCCTGAGTCCCAGGCAAGCCTAAAAACTCAGTGTGCCAAATGTGGTGCAAACAAACGGACTCAAAGGCTCAAAGTAAAAAGGCTAGAAAAGTAGCTTACTCCTGGAAGGGCCTTCTCACTTGTGGTTTAGAGGAACTAAAGTCAGGGCATTTCGTGATATGGAAAGTTAAGTTCTTAGTAGTTCTTAGCCTTTAAGTTCTCTAATTCTTAATTACAAACAGATTATAAACATGGGAACTTTTATGTGGTGTTAAAAATAATGAACATTAAGACTTGTTGTCATATGAGCTCTTCAAAAATACACCAGTGTCACCAATGCTCATTGGTGCTGCTGTAGCTATACAGATCGGATGAGATTCTTTGATACCTTGGGATGTTTTTTCAAATGAAAGCAGTCGCAATGCAGAAACAAGAGCATTTAGCTACCAATCCCTGCCCTGATTTACAAATTCCAAACTCTTCAAATTCAGCTTCAACAGAGGTGTTCTGGAAAACACTTGCGTGTTCCTTTTCAACAAATGAGCACGGAAAGTCATTTCACCCCAAACTGGAGTTGACAAATACCTCATTTGTAGACTGACAGGAATCCAAGGCATTTCAGTTTGACACTTGTGAACACACGAACATAAAAGTACTAAGTGTTAGTTCCTATTTAGACTGTTTCAGATCAGCAATAGCATGTTAAAATTCTGTCGCGTCTAGGAAGGCAGATAACTTCACTGGCGTTCTTGTGGTCTCAAGGTCCCCATCCACTTTAATATGCATTTGTATATTGTGCAGTTGGGTTTGCACACCTTTGTAAGCTTTAGCGTACTTCATGCATGTAAGTAAAATCCCCATTGTGATCAGTATAACCTTAAAACTAGTTAAAATCCTTTGACTTCCTCATTTTTCTAAGCAGGTCTTAGAGAAGTTCTTCTCCGTTCTCTCCTTTTGCTTCTCTGCTTTTTTAATTTCTTCTTCCCTACTTGTGGCTGATAGCCTTTAGCCTTCTACTTAAAATCCAGAACCTGAATAAAAGGTTTACTGCACGAGCCCATCAGAAAACAAAGGAACATCATGCAGTGGTACAATTCATGCACTGAAGTAGCCTGGGACATAGAGACCTTCTAGCCTTCATACAGGGCTGGAGCAGAAAAGCAAGTCCCAGAGATAATCTTTCACAAGGAATTGCATTCCACCTAAACACCTCAAGCGAAGGTTACTGCTGACCTTCCCTCCAGCAACATACCCTATCTATATGGCTTCCTCATAAAGTCTTGTGAAAACTGACTATTCCAAAGTCTGATTTGCTTATTATATGCAATTAACTGTAGGAAGAAGATTATGTTTACAAGTCTGAGAACACAATTTAGCTTTTGAGCTTTTGGATCAACTTTGTCTTGAACCTTTCTGATAGCTCTAATTACCTGAACCCCTTCACAGTGTCACTAAGATTGCTGACAGCAGTGAGACCTTCCCTCAAATAATGAATCTGAAATTTTCTTTTAACAGTACAGATGTTGGAAGAAATTTTCTTTGCAAATTCCTGCTGAACTTCCAAAAATGTGCCAGTCCAACAGGCTGTGGGTCCTCAAGATGGCAGGTACTTTCCGCCATTTGGATTACTGCCATATCTGCTATTACTTCAGGCTACTTTCCAGTTCTTTGGCATCACTAACTCTTAATATGCTTGAAGGTTAGCCAGCTGGCTCTAAGACATTTTGCATCTGCAAGTCATCCTACCTCCACCTTTGATGCTAAAAGATACGGATATAAAGCAGTAGGGCATTCCTAAACATGATACCACCCACGTTTGCACTTTCATCTCTCTCCGTGGCAGTTAAACCTTGAGCAGAAACAGCAGCAGGACCCTGCCTCAGGCACCCCTCAAGGCAGATGAGTAATTTCCAATAAAGACAATCCAGTGCCTTTAAGAAAAAAAGCAGCACTCCTTGAGCTTTGACCTGGGTCCGTGAGGCAGTGACCGCTGCTTGAGGAACAACAATAGTGGATTGAAGCTCCTTTGTATCTGCCTTATCGTTAGGAGAGGTTCCACACAGGCAATGTATTGCTGCTGAGAAAACCAAAGTGGCTAAGGCAAGAAGTCCTGACACCCTCAAATCATGGAAGAACAGTGCCTTCATCATCTGCTGATGATAGCTTTGCACAAAGTATGTGGTAACAAATTTTCCAACCCAAGAAACTTTGACATTTCTTATTTTCTAACAGTAGCTACTTTTACATAAGGTATCTTCCTACCAATTCCCTTTTGAGAGGAACTAGTTATATATTGAAGTTGTACATATATCCTTGTTTTGTAATAAGAATTTTCCTACAGAGTTCATCTAAAACAATTAATGCTTATTCTTTGAGGCAACGAGAGTCTACTTGTATATGTACTTACTTCAGAAGAGATTTGTCCTCTTGTTATGAAGCTGTCCAATCTCAACATTCAGTCTCATCTTTTCTTTTATTTCCTGAGATCAACATATCTCAGGAAAAGCTGTAAGAGCTCCTCATTGATGCTTCCCACTCAGAAAAATCCCAGATTATAACCTCAAACATAACCATGAGCAAAAAATGAACTGAGCTTGTTACCAGGCTTTTCTTTGCCTATCCAGTCTCATCACTCCAGCATTCACCTGACACTAGTCTAATTTTTTTTTTTCTCCACATTTTACCTTTCCTATGATTAAATGAGATGTCTCAGGACATGTTAGTCTGGTGTTACAACGTTTATACTGAAAGCACTAGACTGCAGTTCCACTTTCAACGGAGGTCTACATTGAGATTTTTCCTAGAAGAGAAATTTAACCTCCATCCTTTGATCAACGGTCCTACCTCTGGAATTGAATGGAAGAGAAAATGCCATTACTAGAATGGCTTGACTGGCTGTAACACAGAGAGTGATCTCTAAGCAGTTTCAAGTGAAAATTTAATACAAAACCAATAATGCGTAGGAAACTAGGCAATAGGTTAGAAATACTCTAAAAAAAAAATCTACTGTTTTCAAGCATCTTATTTGTTTGCTGTAAATGGGTAAGCTATCACCTCCGATATGTCTTGATTTGTTATGATCATAGCACTTTTTCAACTTTTCACGTAGACTCCCTAAAACCTTACTGTAGGCAAAATAATCAAAGTGACCAAAGAAAACCATTAGGGGACACAGAAGGTTTGATGGCTCACAAGTCCCAAAATCCATCTCCTTAAATTTAATTAATTTCCATTTCTGAAAGGAGGTCAGAGTCCTCAACTGATCAAAAAACGTTGTGCAGCTTTAACCAAATAAAAAAGCCTCCCATAAATAATAGAATTCCCCTTCGTCAGAAAACATAGAAGTTCTTGATTTTCAGTGGAGTGATTAACATCCTGACACGAGGCACAGAAAAACACCAGCGTTTTCCTGAACTGTATACTACCCTTTACAATAGGAGTATGAAGGCAGGGCTTTAAAAAAAGTCTAGTTGCTCTGTGATTTCTCCTTTCGGGAGGCCCCCCTGCTGTCCTGTGGCTACTGTGAGTTATAAATAAGCCCTTCACGGCACGGTCTAAGTTACGTTTACCATCTGTCTCCTCTTTGTGATCTACTTGCAGGGAAGACTCCATTATATAAGAAAACCATATTGTGAGAGTTGGAAATTCACTACTTGCAGCCAAAGCAGTGAGGAGAGGAAAGCACAGTCCACAGTGTTAAAATATTTAACGAAATATTAAATAGAACTGGAAAGAGGAGGGGGACGAGAGTGATGTTCAGCATTTATGTCCTCACTGTAACTCGTCTGGAATGACACTACCAGTTGTTGTACTAAATTACAGATACTAAAGTAGATACTAAAATTATCGCGCGTAGGGGAAGATCCTGAACTGGCATAAACCGTCAGCTCCACCGAAGCCAATGAGTTATGACAATTAACACCAGCTGTCCAAACTTCGCATTTTGTAAAATACAGAATACAAAACTACTTCCACTCCCTTGTATTTCCTTAAGTCTTTATAATTAAAGACTAGAATGCTTACTGACAATTGACCCAGATAATTCCATTTCATA